GTAAATTGATTAGGACACCTTTAACAACTTAGGGAGGAGACTAATCACAGCTGACTGGTTGGCCTGATACCCCTGGACACTTATTGGATAAGAGTCACTCATTTAAAATGCCAGATGTGGCACATAGTTTACAGACGTTTTACAGTAATGTTACGGACAACTTAGGCAGTAATAACAAAAATAAAGATCAGAATGTTGTGTAAATTCACTTTTTACTTAAAAAGCACACAAATATCAGAGTGTGTGTGTTTTTGGCAGTAATGACTTTAGCTGCATTTTGGTGTTGAAGGACAAGGCTGTTTGTCTTTTTCCTTTCTTTGAGCTGCTCTCTTCTCACTCTCAGTTTTTCTCTGTTTATGTCTCCATTTTGTTCAGATTAACTTCTCTTGTTGTCGGCCTTCTTCTCTCTTTCTGCCTCTATTTTTCAGTCCCTGCTTATGTTTGCCTGTTTCTCTCTCTGCTGAACCTTCTTCTTCTATATGTCTCTCATCTGTCTCTCCATATCAGTCTCTGCACTGCCTGCATAATCTGTTTGACTGTCTCCCTGCCTTTTCTGTCCCTCTGGCTGTCTGCCTCTTGCTTTGCCTCTCGGTCTCTGTTTATTTCTCTTCCTTATTTTTTCGTCTCACCTTTCTGATTCTTTTTTTTCTTTGTTTCTTGTTTTTGTGTTTTTTTTCTGTCTGCTGGTTACTTCTGTATTCTGTCATGGTTTCTCCTCTGCCCGTCTTTCAGATTCTGGCGTCTCTGCTCTTTGTGTTTTTACTGCCTGGCTCAGCTCCAGAAAGTTATGGGGGCTAAGTGTTTGTGCAGCCAATGGCAAGATGGGCCGTATAAAAGCACTGAGCTTATAGATGTGATGTACGACACTCTACGTGACTGCATTGATAAAGAAGTAGCATCCTACTGCAAGGACACAGCCTTCGACTGCTTGTGTGTGCGTGTATAAGAGAGAGACAGCTGTAAAATACTAATCAAATTTCAATGCCAAGTTATCTGTCACCTTTAGCTGCCACGGTGTATCTGTGTATGCATGCATGTGTTTTGGCCAATCTCATCAACGCTTTGAGTCCCGGAGTACCACCAACTCACCACCCCTCCTTGCTCTACAGTTGCCGTGGCAACATACCAAGAGGCTCCATCATGTGTCTCTGCCTGTGACCACATTTTTATAACGGCTCACAAGCTACGGCTTTGTGTGTTTGTTGGTTTGTTTCGGGGTTTTTTTTCGCCTTAATTTTAGCATCTGATCATGCTGAAGGTACCGTGAGGTGATGCTGACTACAAAGTGTTTTGGCTTCTGCTGGCCTCTGCTTTGATGTCTAATTCAGTTTTCCAGAGATATCATCCAAACAGCGAGCTCTCTACAAGGCAAGGTTCCGAAGAAAAATAAAGATTAAGTGCAGATTTTTCACTCCCTTTTCCTAGCACTGATAATAGTGAGTGAAGGTTGTTTTTTTTTATCTAATCCCAGCATGTTGCATATGTATGTTTATTTTTTTTAATTCCTGTCTCTGTATAGAGAACAGCTGCTGTCATGTAGCTCACGTGTTTATCAGTATCCATGCCCTGCTGATGCTGTGACTCCATTACCTGGTTGGTTGTCGTGGTGCGACTAGACTGGAGTTCATATTTTTCCAACTTGAGCAGCAGATGCGATAAGCGCGAATGCACAAAATGAACCACATAAAATGCAGCGCATATTTTTTAGTCGCGCTAATTGTTCGCGCGAATCAGACAGAAAAGCGTTTTCGCTACGCAAATCCGCTTCATCGCGCTCCTCCATTGACTTTATATGTAAACCTGACTCTTTGGTTGCTTCTATCGCTTTTGGTGTGTAGCACCAGTGTTGCCAACTCCTCAGTAAAGGAAATCGCTATTGGTTGTCCTAAAAGTCGCTAGAAGTCGCTAAATGACGTCATAGCCTAATTTGCATAATTGGACATGCTAATGTAATTGTAACCTAGGTTGTTGGAGAGAGAAATAACATCGTGGAAGAGACAGAGTGAGTAAAAAAACGTCCTAAATGCATTTAGAATTTATTTAGAACTACAAATTAAATTTATTTTAGCAATTATTGTTTTTTGTAATGTCACAATTCCAACCCTGCTGCTTTGGCTTGGACCAGCAAAAGTGACCCGAAATTGGCACTCTGGAGTAGTTACTTTGTGTGTGTGTGTGTGTTTGTTTATTAGTAGTTTTAAACTTTGTGATCGACAAAACAGCATAACAGTAAAAGAAGAACTGACTGAATAAGAGAAAAGTCGCTAAGGGGGTCTGAAAACTAGCTAAATATAGTGACAAAGTCGCTAAGTTGGCAACACTGGTACCACTGTAACTGGGAGCTTCTTCATCAAACACCAGTATTGGGTTGGATGACTTCACACACGGTGGTGTGGTTCTGAGGGAGGAAACTGCATAGACGCCAAAATGTTTTTGTATGAAGTGACCACTAGGGGAACTGTAGTTTTTGCACTGATGGTTATTGATTGCTGTTTGGTTTCAGATGAAATGGACATAAACTGCCACGCATAAGCAGACAGAAATTTGTATTCGTAGAATGCTTTTATGTTAGCTAATGTACATTTATCATTTTATTTATTTATTGCTGTTTACTGATTTGTAAGATTGTTGATCTTAAAAAATGTTTTAAGATCAACCCGCCTTGAATCAATCTCTCCTCTACTCAGACAGTTTAATACATTTTGTGTTCATGTGTGCTAATACTAGTCCTGGCTCCATAGTGAACATATTTGAATAACATGCCCCATTTTGAGACAGAGAGGAGACACAAATCGCTGTCTAGAAGAAGCTCTCCCATTTTTATACATATCTATATAAAGCTATATGTAACTAAAATCCAGTTATTTAGTCAGATGTAGTGTCTGTCTTTCTCCTCGCACTAGCAGCAGCAGCATTGTGTTGGCAGAAGTTTGAAGAGCTCCGGCTTTGCTGTTCACACTGTGCCACACAGCATGCCATATGGTATGGTGGCTATATAACATTATGTTAGCTCAGCACAATATTTAAACATCTTTTCAGAGTTTTATCGCTTCACATCATTGTTTAGCTACTTCAGGCCTCAACTTTACTGTTTTTGGTTCACTCTCGCTGCTCTTATTGGCCATAGATGGCAACAGTTTCAGCAAGAAATCTGTGAAACTCTTGCTGCACGCTACCTGTCCAAGTCCAAAATTAAAAAATGGAGATGTTTAGCTATTACAGAGCCAGTTATTTCATGAGATTTTAGAGGTCAGAAGCAGACTCAATATTAGACTTTCATACAGCTAGCCCAGAATTAAGCTCTGTAGCTGTTTCATTTGTGAAATAAGTAACTCTTTACAAACTCTTTTTTTCCTTTTGTGCATTTGACTCGTGTTTTGTACTTCTGTGTGTGTTTTGCACTAAACTACAAAAGGATTGTGCATTAATTCGACAGAGAAAAATGACACATACAAAATGTCTTATGTTCTGTACATTAGCTTGAAAAAAACAGACTGATGCATGGCACAAAAAGTGTCGGTTTGGCGCTGATTTAGTGGAACCTTCCCAGTACAGAAATATTGCAGGCATGTGCTCAAAATCTACACAAACAGCCACATGCGCCATGGCAGGGTCCCAAAGCAAAACGGTGAAAACTTTGTGATCAGTTATTGTTCCGTGCCCTGGATAAGTGTGCCAGCTAAATGCTCAAAATGTAGCCAAGCCAGGAGAATAAGTCAGCCTGTGTCCTGCAACCTATTTAGCGTTTCTCCCTCTCATGGGTTCAGTTCTGTTTTAGACAAGGGAAAGGAAGTGGAACAAGGTTGTTAACTGAAAGAAGTGACTGTGGAAATGACCCTAGGAGCAAACTTTGTCTGACCTATTGACTGTTTCTATTCGGCACTACATTTTTCCAGGATTTAAAGCTTTATTGGAGGGGAAACATCTATTTTTTTCTGCAGATTTGTGTCTGAGGGGCTGGATAAATGTGATTGGCTATAGTTGACTGTGTTTGAGCTATAAAAAATATCTGTCCAATGGTTTAGACTGACTGATAACTTTATACAGAATCGAAATCTTCATTATTTCAAAAGCACAAGAAAAGTATACGCAGTCCTATTCAGTGCAAATAAAACAATCTAAATATCTTATTAAGCTTTTATTCTATGTATAAATGTAAAAAAAGATAATTTTTAATAAATGAATAAGCTGTTTAAAAAATAATGTTAAAAAAATGTGTATATATTTATTCGTGTGTTTAGTCATCATTGATTCCACAGTTGTTTACAGTTTAAGAGTATTTTTTAATTATAATCAATGCAAATGAGTAAATAATTATATATATGAATACAAGTTAAGATTTTCTAGTTTAAGGTTGTTTTTTTTAGTTCATTGTGTTTGAAACTGAAACTGAATTACAGAGGTAATAATAATTGTCGCGACATTAAAATTACTTGCAGTTTGTTTTGGCCTCTTTGCTGCACAGGCCTTGAGACATTTTTTTAAACTGTATTAAAAGTAAATAAGGGGCTTGTGATGCAGAAAATGCTTTACTGTATATCATTTGATTGTTTTTGCTGGAACATGATTGCCTGATATTGCTTCTCACATGCTACAGACAGCAGACTTACTCTTGAAATGTTGTGCAACGCTGATTTTTGATGTTCATGCTCGCTGTCGTTGGTCTTTTATTTATTCCAAAAGCAGACGTGCAACACGTCACGCGGCGTCACGAGCCGTCTGGCACAGTTTGTTCGTTACATCAAATCTAAAAGCTTTCATGAACTCGGTGCCGATGCCAATCAGCAACACTTCCGGGGCTGACATTTTATATGTATGAAAATGTCACAAGTTATTATTCTACTATTAGTCATCTGCACTTAACGTTCAGGCCACTGTAGTGCTCACTGTGATTCATAGCTTAAAAAACCCCATAAAATACTAAAAAGTTAAATGTGTAGACGAAAGGCAGATTTCTGGTGAAAAGCTTTCCAACGTTGGTGTCACTGTTGTGTTCACAGGCCTGACACCCAGCAGAAAGCCCCGGTGACTGCTCCTCCTCCCCCGCCGCCCCCTCCACCTCCCCCTGAGCCGGCTGGGCCCCCAGAGCCGGAGGAGGAGATCCTGGGCTCCGACGATGAGGAGCAGGAGGACCCCGCGGACTACTGCAAAGGTCAGTCACATGCGCACGTCTGTCCCAGCCCACACTTCTGTCTTATGGAGCTCTGCGCTGGCCTCCCTGGCCCACACCGTCTTCACCGGCTCGTCTTCCTACCTTATTTCTCCAGAGTTCCACCCTGATGGGATTAGCAGTTCATGTTTGCAGACATTATAACAGCCAATTCAGAATTGCTCGGCTTTTACCAAAATGTCAGAGATGAACCGAGTTTCCTGCCACAGCTCAGGAGGACAAAGGCAGCTTTACAACATTCAAAGCATTAATTATAACGCAGCCACGTTTCAAAATGGTGCATCACTCTGTAAAATTGTATTTCACTTTAATCAGTACACCTCAACATGTTTCGATCACATACCATGAACATCACTTCAAGTGAAACTTTTCTCCTTTTTTCCCAGATGGCTTCTTTCACTGTGTTTAGAAAGTGTTTTGGAAGAAGCACAGTCGAAGCGTCAGATCTCACTTCAGTGAGATGAAAGACAAAAAGAAAAGAGGAAAGATCACATCTCGTTTATGTTGTTTGGCTTCTTTTCAATTTTACGTCTGAACCTTTTAAAGGACTTTTAAAGCACTCGGTGCACTTTTTAACCCATTTAGGAAAAGTGAATACAGCACTTTGTGTTTATAAGAAATGTTTAGTTTCATTGAAAATGTCAAGGCTGACCTGAAACCTAATGACTCAAGAAAAGCTGTGAGGTGGTGTTGCTTAGGAATGCTTTGGTGAGTAACACTGTTGAAGCACTAGAAGCTGGAACCAGCAAATATTAAGCGCTTTAATTCAACTGACTCAGTAATGACTTGAGGAATTGGTTACACTCATTTGCCATGACATTAGGTACACCTTACTAAATGAATTAATATGGCAATCCTGCAATACATTATTATAGCCTTCAGAAACACCTTGCTGCATAATGCAGTACAACCAGACCCATAAAGTGCATTTAAGGAAAGCAAAGCTGAACGACACTTTAAGCAAAAACTGAAGGGTTTATTCCAGCTTGTGTTAGACTGGGTTTGCCTTAGCAAGCTTTACCTGGCAAAATTGATTTAAGTCAAGACAAATGTTCTAATTTTATAGATTTTAAATCAAGTTTTTCATTTGTCTCTTTATTGTGTATTTGTGTATAGCTTCGTTTAGCTTTAGTTCATTTTCTTTACTTTTCAGCAACCATGCATAAAAAAGGTTGATCTCATAGGAGTAAATATACCTTTTACCGGGTTTAGCAGCTAGATATTTATATCAGCGGTCCCTGGGCACGTGCACACAATGTTAAATAGACTGTAAAAAACAAAACATATATCCATGATACAGAGAGAAAACAGAATAATCTAATCAAATATACATATATAGTCAAAAATAGATCCCATCTGGCTGTAAAATGTGCTTTGCTGTGCTTTCCTGCTGCTTTGCTATTTCAAAAAACTCCAAACCTTCTTTTTTCCCTCGGCCCATGTGAGAATAGAAGAGGTGAGAATCTAGAGCTGAGCAGCCTCCTGCACGCTCTTTCCTCTTGCCTAAACTTGGAGTTTCTCCAGGTGTGAATGTGTGCGACATAGAGAATCTCTTGTCGTGTGCCACATTTGAGAAAGGGCAGCTTCAGACGGTGCTCAAACTTCATCCACTTTGCAGAGTTCGTGTGCGAAATCGGCTGTCTGACCCTTCCTCCCTCCATGCACCTGCTGGCCTACCTCCACTTCTTACTCGCTAATGGATTTCATGTCATGGCAGGGTTATCGACTGTAACCTTCATGTTCTCCTTCCCCTTTCTCTCTCAGGAGGGTACCATCCGGTGAAGATCGGGGATTTGTTCAACGGGAGGTACCATGTGATCAGGAAGTTGGGGTGGGGCCACTTCTCCACCGTATGGCTATGCTGGGACATCCAGTGAGTCACACATTAATGTTTATATACAGCAAAGGCTTTCAGATTCTGCTTCATGTTTCTCTTGTGTGCGCACACACACACATAAACACACACACACACACACACTAACCACACACACATCAACCACAACACTTGATCTAGGAAAAAAGAGAGCGCTCGTATACTCCTAACCTCTCGTTCACACCCGTGCACAGCAACGCTTGTTCTCATCCGCTTGCCTCACATAAGCCGTCTGCACTGCATATGCCCTTTTTCGACCACATTTGGCACGTCACCACAATGGCAGCTGCAAGCAACACCACCCTGTGCTGGCATCTAAGCCATCTATTTACACGGTGATGTTGTTTGTGTGTTGACAAGGCAACCGAGGTGGATGGTTAACGGTATCATCAGCCCAGTGTCACCTTTCAGTGATTCGCACACATACACACCAACTAATTTATTCACCAGTGTTAATTACACTAATGGTGGTCATAAGCTAGCGAGTTGGGTTACTGTAGGGACGGTCCCCAACAAATACTGACCTTTCACTGTATGTCATTTTGAAGAGATATGTATAAACTTTATTAACCCCACATCGGAGTTATTATAGGTTTGTATTTTGAAATCGTTTTTTGTCTTTTTTAGTTTAGTTTGAGGTAACCATGATAACCTTTTCCCACACTAAGAAAAATATAAAAAAATATTTTTTTCATATATACACAAAATGCAGTTGGAATAAAATATATTTTTAGCAGGTGTTTATCACGTGTGCATATTTTACAGTGTGAATTGTGTCGAGATGACGGACCTCAATAGCGCTCCGTCCTACACGGTGGCTGTAACAGTGTACTGCTGAAGGAGCTGCTCAGGGCCTCTACAGTCACATGGAGGGGGAGCGGCTGTTGCCCGCAATGGAGATTAGTTTGGCTAACGTCCTCCTCTTACCCACCTCCTCTGGTCCTCTACTCTAGGGGACTGGCTAGGACAGAGCTGGAGTGGCTGAGGCCATCAATGTGTCATAAACGGCACAATACATGTTTTGAAACATACAGCAATCCACACACGAATCAATATCAGAGGAATAAACCTCTTTTTTCCCCCATCTCTCAGTCTTAGATGTGCATTACTCACCACTCATTCTCTTTTTATGAATTGTTGCTTTTCCACTGAATTTTTCACTGAATATATGAATGCATGCTGTTGCCTGATGAGATGCGTTTCTCTGTTCTCTTTAGATCGCTGACTCGTGGCTTCTGAAGTGCATGTTTTCTGTTCTGTTCTTTCAGTGTTTTTGTTTCGTCCTTTCTCCAGGAATTGTTTCCATAGTTCAGGAAACAGAAGGCATAGGATAACATTGTAGTGCAGCGCTACTCTTTAATGGGCCTGTGCAATCTCTATAGTGCACCGTGTAAATGCACAATGAATGTCAGGTCAACATTTAGCAGTTTTTATGAGAGCAGTATAGGCGTAGGTGAGAAATTCCACTCTTCTTTTTCATCTGCTCGTATTGAAACACGCTACCATTAATGTGAAGTGAAATCTGAAGTTGGTTTGTCTCCAGTTCAGACTGTGCCTGTTCACTTTGTAACAAAACAAAGCACAAAGGATTTACTCACTTCAGTCTACAGCTAGCAAATATTGATTTCTTTGAAAAATGGCTAAATGAAGCAATAGACGCCAAATGTTCTGAAATAATGTAACAGAACGTGGTTAGATGGTAATAACTGAATATATTCAGCATGATAACCTGATTACAAAGAGTTTAAATGTGGGCCGTGAGGAAGACAAAGAGGCGTGTCAGTGTTGTGCTATTTCACAATGTTAAGATTGTTTAATGTTAATTAAATGCCACACAGCTCATCCATATGCATTTCCAGTGGCAGTGTGGGTAGTGTAAATGACAACCAGCAAAGCCTAGGCTGACGTTGCTCGTTAATACTTGGTTCAGTCGGTGATTCCTATTTTCATCTCTCTCACGGGGTGGCATTAATCAGCTTTGCTGGCTTCAACAACCTGTTAGCGTGTGAGTCACTATAAAATAAAAATGATGCGTGTGTGCGTGTGGCATTACAGAGTGAAGAACTTTGTGGCGATGAAGGTGGTGAAGAGCGCTCAGCATTACACAGAGACGGCCCTGGATGAGATCAAACTGCTGCGATGTGTGAGAATCTGATTAATTTGACATTTTCGCTTTTTTTGGATTTTCTCGTCTTAATTTTGTCTTTCCGTCTGTTCTTGCTTCTTATTATAACTCTCAGCGATTTTTGCATCCATTGCCATTTTCCCCCATAGCTCCTGTCCTTACGTCAACCTTCCATTCTTTCCTTTGACTTTAAATATACACTTACAAGTTGTCTTGCATGATAGGTGAAGAAGTCAGGCCTCTTATAATCTGGTGTTCAGCAGCTTTATCTTCCACATCCATCTTTCCTGTCTTTTTTCTTTCCTCTGTTCACATTTGCTCGTGCTCGAGTATTTTTCCTCCTTTCCTATCTTCCAGGCCTTTTCCCTTTGTTTTTCTTCTCTCTTCATCCTCCTATTGTCAGGGTCATTCTCTTTTTGTCCCTCCTGACATGTTTACCATATCTCATTATCCGTCTTGTCCGGCAGGTGAGAGAGAGTGACCCCAGCGATCCCAATAAGGATATGGTGGTACAGCTGATAGATGACTTCAAGATTTCAGGAGTCAACGGGATACGTATCCTAATCAAGAAGCGTGCGTGTGCATGTTTGGATATATGGAAAGGACAGAGATGTGATGATGTGAGTCCTTAACTCCCAGTTGCAGACGTTTGTATGGTGTTTGAAGTGCTGGGTCATCACCTGCTGAAATGGATTATTAAATCCAACTACCAAGGTCTCCCGTTGCCGTGTGTCAAGAGTATTATCAGACAGGTGAGGACACACGCGCGCACACACACACACACACACACACACACACACACACACACACACACGTAACAAATTGTATTTAAGAGCATAATAAAATGACTGAATATTTGACAAAATTTGGGTAAATTTAGCACCAACACTGCAGTCCAGCATTTGCAAAAGTAACCCAATCAATCCTTGTTTCTCCAACAGCTGTTACTGCAGGTGTGAAGTTAATACCCATTGGTTGAGATGATCTTCTCAACCACCTCTATTTCTTAGATCTTGCTTCCAATGAGCCAGCTGATCTTTTGTTTTGTTTATTTAAGTGATCTTGAGTGATATGTAAAGAAATGAGACTTTTGCACAGTTTTTTATGTGTATTGTAATACAGAGACTTTACATGTGTTCTGTTTCTCTCCATAATTCATTTGGTGGTGCAGGTTAACATCATTTTCTAACTAATTTAGTTTCTGTGTCCCGGCCTGTCATATGTTGACTAATGAGGATTGAAGATGGTGGATAGAAAAGCAGTCACACAGCCAATTAATACACATTTGTGCTAATGTTCACTTCAAACGTTAATACCGCCGCCACTCTGAGAAGCGGGATGACAAACCAGCTGATCAGCTGAGCGTTTCAGCTGCTGCCAGCTTCTTGTAAGCTGAGCTGGAGATGAGTAGAAATTGAATGAGACTGTCCTTCACTTCAGTTTCAAAGCCTCAAAACAGATACAATTGAAAGAAACACAGGAAAACATCAACAGTTTCTGTCCTCGCCGCCCTCGGAGAATGGAAAGCATCTAAAGAATGGTTGAGCTGACTAATAGAGAGTGAATGAAAGGGAGAGAGACACAGAAGGAGATCTGAAAAGAGGCATGTTTGCATTTTTTGTGAATCCATGGTTAAACAAGAAGTATGAACATGATTTCATGCCTCTGTGCTAAACAACCATGGCTAAAGGCATTATGGTTAAAGGTTGCTAGTTGCTTCGTTATATGTGCCGATCCTTCTCGTTCCAGGATATCGCAAACACCTTGAAAGAGTTTCTTCAGATTTAGTTCTCATATGTTTTTGATTCAAGGAAGAACAAAAATTGATGTAGGTGGTAAAAGAAGAAAAGTCAAGCTAACGCACCTCATGTTTTGGTCACAACTAATTGTTCACATGCTAATTACGACTTATGGTAAAAGGATAAAGTCACCAAATCTCACTGGTTGGCAGAAGCATACAAATGTCTGTCTATCTGATGTGTCTGCAGGTCCTGCAGGGCTTGGACTACCTCCACACGAAGTGTAAAATCATCCACACAGACATAAAGCCGGAGAACATCCTGATGTGTGTAGATGACGTCTTTGTTAGGCGTATGGCCATGGAAGCAACTGAATGGCAGAAAGCTGGAGCTCCACCACCATCTGGATCAGCAGGTAGCGATACGTTTCATTCTCCACACATGTATTTTCAGAGAAAGGGTTATTTAAAGGGACCTTTGCTGCTGTGAGTAAGATATCATTAACAATATTTGGTCATCTTAAAATCTGGTATTTAAGTTACATCGGTCCATATTTTTCTCTTTCTAACATTTGTTGTACTTCTTTACTTATTTACGCTGTGCCCGACTCAGCCAGGTGTTGTGTTTGTAGACGTGTGTTGCCTATAGGAAAGTTGAGGAGTGCCCTGTCGCAGCTATCCCATGTCAGCACTCATAACATGGTTGGAGGGAGTTTCTTCCATCACTTCTTTAGTTTTTCATTGTCATTTAAAATCATAATACTGATAAATTAGCAAATAAATAATATCAGCTGTTGATACATCAGCACCTTGATTCTTTTTCAGGCTTTCTGTTGTACATTTGCTGCTCTGTTTGTTATGATTTATATATGTATTTATACATATATAAATCATAACAATGGAAACATATTTGGTACAATAAATTGTTCACATGCAAAATTGCCATCAGATTTACAACACATGCACACTGGAAAATGATCTTCTTACTGCCATGCATCCTGAATCAGTGTTTGTGCTTGCTGCTTTCAATCTGCATGCTATCTGAATACAGTCAGATCCTTATTTCTCTATATAAGGAAACACGTTTACCTTGAGGTGAAGTGGAGAGAGCAGTGACGATGTTGTTAGAGATAAGATTGCTAATGCAACAGTGAAGGAGAAAGTAAATAGTTTCCGAGGAGGAAGACAGAAAAAGGCCAACTTTTGAAAGTGTAAAAAAATTAAAATAAAAAGGAAAGATCAAGATGAGAATTCATAGGATGATGGAGCTTTGCTTCCCTTCAGACACTTACTGTGCCTTAAGTATAAAAAGGTTTAGAATCAGGTCTGTGTGAAATGTTTGTGTGCGCACTGTTAGTAAGTTCGGGCCTAAATTAGAGCCATTGTCCTGTTGTGTGACCCAATTTGGGCCAAGCTTTAGGTGTCAGCCTCCCATTCGAATCTAGAATACTTTGACGGAGTTCATGGTGGACTCAGTGACTGAAAGGTTCCAAGGTTATATAGTTGCAGAACAAGCACAAATCACCACCCCTCCACCACCGTGCTTGACAGCTGGTGTGAGGTGATTGTGTCGATATGCTACGTTTGGTTTTCACCAAACGTGGCCAAACCACTCCATTTTTGTCTTGTCTATCTAAAGGATATTGTTCCAGAAGTCTTTTGATTTGTTCAGATGCAACTTTGCAAACGCAAGCTGTGTTGGCATGTTCTTTTTAAAGGGAGCACAACGTCTCATGGCAACTCTTCCAAACAAGCAATACTTGGTCAGTGTTTTTCTGTTGGTACTATCATGCACTTTGACATTTACCATGCTAACTGAGATCTGCAGACTCTAAGTTGTAGCTCCTTGAGTTTATTGCAGTTTCTCTGAGCATTGCATGGTCTGAATTTTTGGATGTAATATGTTAACAGAACCCTGAATGCTCCACAACAGAAAACTGCCAAACCTCCTGTTTTTATAGACGGATGCTCACACTTGTAAGTGATCAGTTAATCAAGTGCATTTGATTTGCAGCACTGGGCAGGTACTTATCCTTTTCTAATGAAGCATTACGGGTGTACTTGGGGTTTCCTACATGACTGTAGCTACACTGTATTAAGGTGACAGTGGTGTCAATTTTAAGCAAAAAATCAAATTCAGGTATTTCTCAAAAAATAACTGCACTGTGTTATACTTACGTTTGTTTCCAAATGGTTGGGTATTTTATACCAAAATTAAGAAGAGAACAAAACCTAAAGGTTTTTGGGATATGTTTTCACCTCCTATCAGAAATAGCATGAGTGAGTTTGTTTACTGTATTCATTTATACTTCTTACTTCTTTGTTATTACAGATTTCTCTTATGTTTAATGTTGACGTACTCCTACAAGAAGTGTCGAAGCCTTGAGTTTCTTCTCACCTGCTTACCTTTACAGAGACATTTGTTGCTTTTTTTAACCCATCTCTTGTCAAAACGTTCTTCCACTTTAAAAAAAAACCCTAAAAGTTCTCAAAATTATTCCTGATGAACTCCACATGAACCCCTGTCCCTTGGTGAACTCCCTGTGAACTGTCAATTGCTTGCATCAGCCAACAGGGTCTTTTTGAGCCTCGGGGTAACAAGTTTTACTGCTTAGATTTCTACACGCGTGATGTCAGGCACAAAACCATCAACTGTCAAAACAAGAGCAAGTGCTCATAGTAACACACGCTGTCTCTGATTGAAGATAAGCAGTATATCGTTTTTTTTTTTTTAATTGACGTTAACATAAGTGTAGAAATAAGTGTAGACATGTGTTTTATAGTGAACTTTCATCTATTTCTGCTTCATGTGAGAAGAAATTTATTTTATTTATTTATGACTGCTATACACGAATGCCAAAGTACTTTACACTGCTTGCGTTATGATAAGCTAACTTCAATTAGCAGCTCAGCATAGCTCCTAAGATAGGACTTAATAATAACTGAATAATTGAAGAAAAAGGCATTAAAAAAGAATAAAACATAAACATTATCAATACAGGAAGAGCGTGGAAAGTGATTTTTCTCGATTTGATAACAAGATTAACTTTTTTGTTTCTGAGTGTTTCAGGTTTTTAAATGACCATACATGCGGCGACATGCATGATTTGCACTCTTAACTCTTAAACCTCTGTCTCGGTTGTGTGACGGACTGATGACAGTGATGCTTGAAAGTGTCTGATTGCTATTTTTTGCTTTCTGTTTTATCAGTTAGCACAGCCCCCCAGCTCAAACCGGTGAGTACAACAGATGTGAGTATGAAATGGGACACACACACACACACACACACACACACACACACACACACACACACACACACACACACACACACACA